CTAATAATTCAGTTTTCCAAGTCCGTTATTACATTATGATGTTTTTTTCTTTTTGAAAAAATATCATGCTAACCAGTTCTTTGTGCTTGCAGAAAGCAGTAATATCAAAGGTAACACCAATCATTGAAGAATCCATTAGAGATATGTTCAAGGAAATGGCTCCAGCTTGTATAAAGGTGGCAGACTTGGGTTGCTCTTCAGGACCTAACACCTTCCACACTATATCTCAAGTTATTGACACTATCCATGGGATATGTAAGCGAGAAGAGTTGAAATTTCCAGAGTTTGAAGTGCTTCTAAATGATCTCCCAGACAATGACTTCAACTCTGTGTTTAGGTCGGTTCCTGATTTCATTGAGAGGATGAAGAAAACGAAAGGAGATATGGTGCAAGAAAGGTGTTTTATAGGAGGAGTTGCAGGCTCTTTCTATGACAGACTCTTTGCAACTAGAAGCCTCCACTTTGTCAATTCTTCGTATGCGCTTCATTGGCTAACACAGGTCGGTCACTTGACCAAAATCCTTCTCTTTGATCTAGTAAAGAATCTGTTTTAATCTCATTTAGCTTTGATCTTGTCATTAGCTCCCAGTTGGGCTAGAGAACAATAAGGGAAACGTATACATGGCAAGATCAAGTCCTCCCAATGTTTTCCAAGCATATGCCGACCAATTTCAGAAAGACTTCACAAATTTTCTAAGCTTGCGCTCCAAAGAAATTATATCCCAAGGCCGTATGGTGCTAACCTTTATGGCTAGGAAAAATGTCGACCCCTCCAACGAAGACTATGGCTGGGAGCTTGTTGCTAAATCACTTCTTGATTTGGTTGCGCAGGTGCCAGATGATCCATTTACTCTATTTCTATGATTAGTTGAACGCAATAAACTAACTTAATTATGAATTGCAGGGAGCTGTAGAAGAGAGAGATGTGGATTCATTCAACCTTCCTTTTTATACACCTTGCAAAGAAGAAGTGGCTGAGATTGCGGAGAGGGAAGGATCATTTGAAATTACTGATCTACAAGTTTTCGAAGTGGATGCCGATCCTATAAATACAAATGAGATGCTCCGTAACAAAGACTTTGGTTTCAACATTTATACGCAAATGGGGAAAAATATTGCTAATACCATCAGAGCTGTTATAGAGTCAATGATCTGCAATCATTTTGGAGATGCAATAATTGACAAGTTATTCGCAAGGCTTGCTGCAAATGTGGAGGACGCTTTAATTAATTCAGTGTTCGATAGGAGGGTTAGCATTTTGGTTTCTTTGACCAAGAAGTAGTTAATAAGGGAATTGATGGCTCAAAAGACAGCGGATAATAAGGGTTTTCTCAATTAAAACTTTTGAATATGTTCAAGTTTTAATGTGTGGTTGGATGTTGTATTGTTTCTCTCTTTATAATATATCAAAATGAATTAATAAATGACTGCAAATCGATTATGAATGGACTTCTGAAACAACTAGACCTTATATATACCATTTCAACATTTCTCCCACTCTCAATATGCCGTACAATGATGTATCCAAGCTTTCTTATTTTTATTCTTTAATTATATTCACTGGTTTGTACTCTTTATACTCACATTTATCAGTCATGCATTACCTTTGTAAGTTTTGATTTGTTGTATAAGTTATTTCGACTGGTTGCAACTTGAATGAACTTAAAACCTAAAATATCTCAAAATATCAACCAAGAATCAAAATATCTAGAATAAGAAATAATCGAATTAGAGTTCCTAAATATTAGTTTTGTTTATAGCTTCCAGACGAAATTAGGATCAAATACCAAGAAGGGATAGGATGTTTAGCTTAACAAATTAAGGACCTATTGAGTATTTAAATCGAAAAATTATTAAGGTTAAGGTTTAGCTTGGATAAAATTTAAACTAATAGGGACCAAAATACCATTGGACCAAAAAGTTTGGGGTAACAGTAACCCTCCCATGGTATATGTAGGTTTATCCTCAAAATATGTTTCATTTGCCTATTAAGATTTTCAGTCTTCGCAATCAAGTATTAGAATACCCTATAGGGATAGAATTTATACCAAAAACTACAATGAAAGCAACATATTCTTCAAGAATTACACCATAATTTGAATTCAAGTATTTGAATGACAACGTCTTTCAATTATTTTTCGTATTGCACATTAACAAGTCCTTAAAAAAAGAAAGTTGTTCAAAAGAATATAAAATAAGACAATGAGATGCGTACCCTTCATTGATTTCATCATTCTTTTCTTCTTAGTAAACATTATACTGTACAGAATCCAAAAGAAGACAATGTGATGCATAATTGGTATGTTGATGTTCATATTTAAGTAGATGTTCAAGCATGTAATGGGACTTGAGATGCCTAAAACTTAGCTTGTTTGTATTTGTGAATTTGTACTAGTCATAAATAATTAATAAGGCATGGTACACTTGCTAGAGTTGTTAATGGCAAAAAATGATATATCTGACTAGGTGAGTTCTTAAAAAGTGACTGAAAATGGACTTTTAATCCATTTGACATTCTCAAATGTGAATTTTATAATGAGATGATGATTTATGTATGACATGTTATATGTATGTCAATCTATGTTCATTAACACTGAAATTAATAAGCCGCATACTTCTAAATAACCTTAACAAAGAAACATTAAAACATAAATTACACAAGTCTCTAATTGATAAAGAGGCCTTTCAAGATAAATTCCACCACTCGAAAACACTGGACCGTAATAGTTTAGTGAATCCAAAAGCCACAAAGAGATTAGCGTCACTCTTCGTTACTAAATCACACCATGGGCAGCAGCACATCAAAGTATCCAAATAAATCACCTCCATAACAAAACCGCCTTGGTCGGAACCCGGTTGATGATCGTCATTGAAAGAAAACTTCGGATGCGAGGAGGGACTTTTAACTTCCATATTACATTAAAGTTAAAACACGGATCCTCAATGGCGTCATTTACCAGCTTTGCACTATGTTTTTTTTTACATAGAAATGTCCAGCCTAATCATGAATTTATCAAAGTTAAAGTTCGTTACAACTTTAACGACAACTAGTTATAAACGACAGTGGCCTGAGGGTTAATAAATGTAGTTGTCACCTCAGAAGTTTAGAATTTCTATGCTTATGACCTATAGTTCTCATACCATTGGGAATGTTGTGGAAAATGCATCATAATTAGGTTTTTATCTGTTCCTTACACTATGTCCTAGAATGCTTCAAGAATTCATTAATAATAGCAGGACTGAAATTAAAGTATCACGAACATAAGATTATGCCCCCTGCAGTTTTGTTTGACACCTAAAGTGAAGAGGGGACCTAAAAAACAATACGACATGAAAAATAAGATCTGATGAATAATAATAAAAGGGTCAAAGTGATAATGAATTGACATTAGGGATCATAATATAAATTTTCATAGTTGGCGGCAACAAGATAAACTTAGACATAGTTTAGTGAAAAATACTATATTTTACCCTATATTATTTTAATTTACTTTTTCATAGTTCACCAAGGCTCCACGTGCGTAATTAATTAAGAAAACGAATTTATTTGGGGAATGGGGTTGATTTGGTATTAAAGAAATATGCAGTGTATTGAAAACCGGACCGGACCGGTCGGTTTAACCGGAAATCGCTGTCTAGTTCGATTCAATCTACACTGGTTGAACCGCTACTAGTGAACCGGCCGGAACCGCTGAACGTTCGAACCAGACCGGCTAAAAACCGAAAAAAATCGGGACAAACCTCCAATTTTGTTATTTAAAAAAAAATTAAACCAAACGACCTCGTTTGTTAAAAGAGCCAAGTCGAACTCGAGTATTGCTGAGCTCGACTCAAACTTGAAAACTTTAAAAGTAAGCTCAACTCGACTCAAACTCACTAGCTAAAAATTATCAAGTTCAACTCGAACTCGAAATATAATATTGAAACTTTAACTCGAAAAGGGTTGAACTAAAAAAAAAATTAGAAGGTCGATTGAAGCCTAAAATTCGAGCTTGATTGAAGTGAAAGAATAGTTCACTCAATGCTCACCAAAAGGCTTTATGATTTTGAATGCCAAATTACCTCTATTTTTTTATAGAAGTTAGATGGGATGCTCTTCTATGGTCTTTAGCCACGTAAGATTGTTTTGTTCTCATATTTTCTCTTTAGACTTTTGGGATGCCCTTCTATGTTTCTTAGCCATGTGAGATTGTTTTTTAAAAAAATTTAAACCAAACAATATCATTTTGTTATGATTTTTTAGCACCAAATTTATTTTTTAATTATATTTATATAATTATATTTATTATTTAATATGTTTTACCTTAAATATTATGTTTTACTTAATTTAAATCAATTTTTTTCAGTTGATTTTATAATTTTTAATTTATATATATTATGACTTGCTTTGAATATGACTTGTGATATAAAAAAATATTTTTTATTAAATATTTTTGGTAATTTTATTTAATTTTTTAAATAATTATGACGTCGTCCGGTTATTCCGACCGGTCGGACCGATTCAACCGGTTGAACCAGTGAATCGATAGCATGACCGGTTCGCTAACCGGTCCGGTTCGCTAACCGGTCCGGTTCGCTAACCGGTCCGGTTCTGAAAACCATGGAAATATGAAGAAATAAAATAGATATCCCACGTTTTAATTTCTTCCAATTTTAATGTTTCATTTCTTCAATTTGTTTCCAGGCTTACCAAACATTGTCTGCCTTAGCTGGCGGACATCTTTTCCTTATTATTAAACCATTGATTTCGTCATTTTCTTGTTGTTAACATACTTATTCGTAAAGAAGCTTGACTCAGTCTTTATTGGACAGCTCATTCCAAAGTATGTCGAAATATTTTATCTGACCATAATGAACCTAATTAAAAATTGATGACAAAACCATGTGGGAAAAACCCTACAGTTTCAGCGTTTAAACAATGATCATTGTTTCATGCATGCATGCACATATGTATATATATACAGCAGAATGTTAAGGAAAACTCACCAGAAAACAGTAAAGTACGTAAGTTTGTAAAGAAATTAAGGAAGCAAAATGGCAGAAGCAAAGGTTCTTCGCATGAATGCAGCAGATCATGAAATTAGCTATGCTAATAATTCAGTTTTCCAAGTCCGTTATTACATTATGATGTTTTTTTCTTTTTGAAAAAATATCATGCTAACCAGTTCTTTGTGCTTGCAGAAAGCAGTAATATCAAAGGTAACACCAATCATTGAAGAATCCATTAGAGATATGTTCAAGGAAATGGCTCCAGCTTGTATAAAGGTGGCAGACTTGGGTTGCTCTTCAGGACCTAACACCTTCCACACTATATCTCAAGTTATTGACACTATCCATGGGATATGTAAGCGAGAAGAGTTGAAATTTCCAGAGTTTGAAGTGCTTCTAAATGATCTCCCAGACAATGACTTCAACTCTGTGTTTAGGTCGGTTCCTGATTTCATTGAGAGGATGAAGAAAACGAAAGGAGATATGGTGCAAGAAAGGTGTTTTATAGGAGGAGTTGCAGGCTCTTTCTATGACAGACTCTTTGCAACTAGAAGCCTCCACTTTGTCAATTCTTCGTATGCGCTTCATTGGCTAACACAGGTCGGTCACTTGACCAAAATCCTTCTCTTTGATCTAGTAAAGAATCTGTTTTAATCTCATTTAGCTTTGATCTTGTCATTAGCTCCCAGTTGGGCTAGAGAACAATAAGGGAAACGTATACATGGCAAGATCAAGTCCTCCCAATGTTTTCCAAGCATATGCCGACCAATTTCAGAAAGACTTCACAAATTTTCTAAGCTTGCGCTCCAAAGAAATTATATCCCAAGGCCGTATGGTGCTAACCTTTATGGCTAGGAAAAATGTCGACCCCTCCAACGAAGACTATGGCTGGGAGCTTGTTGCTAAATCACTTCTTGATTTGGTTGCGCAGGTGCCAGATGATCCATTTACTCTATTTCTATGATTAGTTGAACGCAATAAACTAACTTAATTATGAATTGCAGGGAGCTGTAGAAGAGAGAGATGTGGATTCATTCAACCTTCCTTTTATACACCTTGCAAAGAAGAAGTGGCTGAGATTGCGGAGAGGGAAGGATCATTTGAAATTACTGATCTACAAGTTTTCGAAGTGGATGCCGATCCTATAAATACAAATGAGATGCTCCGTAACAAAGACTTTGGTTTCAACATTTATACGCAAATGGGGAAAAATATTGCTAATACCATCAGAGCTGTTATAGAGTCAATGATCTGCAATCATTTTGGAGATGCAATAATTGACAAGTTATTCGCAAGGCTTGCTGCAAATGTGGAGGACGCTTTAATTAATTCAGTGTTCGATAGGAGGGTTAGCATTTTGGTTTCTTGACCAAGAAGTAGTTAATAAGGGAATTGATGGCTCAAAAGACAGCGGATAATAAGGGTTTTCTCAATTAAAACTTTTGAATATGTTCAAGTTTTAATGTGTGGTTGGATGTTGTATTGTTTCTCTCTTTATAATATATCAAAATGAATTAATAAATGACTGCAAATCGATTATGAATGGACTTCTGAAACAACTAGACCTTATATACCATTTCAACATTTCTCCCACTCTCAATATGCCGTACAATGATGTATCCAAGCTTTCTTATTTTTATTCTTTAATTATATTCACTGGTTTGTACTCTTTATACTCACATTTATCAGTCATGCATTACCTTTGTAAGTTTTGATTTGTTGTATAAGTTATTTCGACTGGTTGCAACTTGAATGAACTTAAAACCTAAAATATCTCAAAATATCAACCAAGAATCAAAATATCTAGAATAAGAAATAATCGAATTAGAGTTCCTAAATATTAGTTTTGTTTATAGCTTCCAGACGAAATTAGGATCAAATACCAAGAAGGGATAGGATGTTTAGCTTAACAAATTAAGGACCTATTGAGTATTTAAATCGAAAAATTATTAAGGTTAAGGTTTAGCTTGGATAAAATTTAAACTAATAGGGACCAAAATACCATTGGACCAAAAAGTTTGGGGTAACAGTAACCCTCCCATGGTATATGTAGGTTTATCCTCAAAATATGTTTCATTTGCCTATTAAGATTTTCAGTCTTCGCAATCAAGTATTAGAATACCCTATAGGGATAGAATTTATACCAAAAACTACAATGAAAACAACATATTCTTCAAGAATTACACCATAATTGAATTCAAGTATTTGAATGACAACGTCTTTCACTTATTTTTCGTATTGCACATTAACAAGTCCTTAAAAAAAGAAAGTTGTTCAAAAGAATATAAAATAAGACAATGAGATGCGTACCCTTCATTGATTTCATCATTCTTTTCTTCTTAGTAAACATTATACTGTACAGAATCCAAAAGAAGACAATGTGATGCATAATTGGTATGTTGATGTTCATATTTAAGTAGATGTTCAAGCATGTAATGGGACTTGAGATGCCTAAAACTTAGCTTGTTTGTATTTGTGAATTTGTACTAGTCATAAATAATTAATAAGGCATGGTACACTTGCTAGAGTTGTTAATGGCAAAAAATGATATATCTGACTAGGTGAGTTCTTAAAAAGTGACTGAAAATGGACTTTTAATCCATTTGACATTCTCAAATGTGAATTTTATAATGAGATGATGATTTATGTATGACATGTTATATGTATGTCAATCTATGTTCATTAACACTGAAATTAATAAGCCGCATACTTCTAAATAACCTTAACAAAGAAACATTAAAACATAAATTACAAAAGTCTCTAATTGATAAAGAGGCCTTTCAAGATAAATTCCACCACTCGAAAACACTGGACCGTAATAGTTTAGTGAATCCAAAAGCCACAAAGAGATTAGCGTCACTCTTCGTTACTAAATCACACCATGGGCAGCAGCACATCAAAGTATCCAAATAAATCACCACCATAACAAAACCGCCTTGGTCGGAACCCGATTGATGATCGTCATTGAAAGAAAACTTCGGATGCGAGGAGGGACTTTTAACTTCCATATTACATTAAAGTTAAAACACGGATCCTCAATGGCGTCATTTACCAGCTTTGCACTTTGTTAATAAGGCATAATACACTTGCTAGAGTTGTTAATGGCCAAAAATGATATATCTGACTAGGCGAGTTCTTAAAAAGTGACTGAAAAAGCATAAATTGACTTTTAATCCATTTGAAATTCTCAAATGTGAATTTTAAAATGAGATGATGATTTATGTATGACATGTTATATGTATGTCAATCTATATTCATTAAAACTAAAATTAATAAGCCGCATACTTCTAAATAACCTTAACAAAGAAACATTAAAACATAAATTACACAAGTCTCTAATTGATAAAGAGGCCTTTCAAGATAAATTCCACCAATCGAAAACACTGGACCGTAATAGCTTAGTGAATCCAAAAGCCACAAAGAGATTATCGTCACTCTTCGTTACTAAATCACACCATGGGCAGCAGCACATCAAAGTATCCAAATAAATCACATCCATAACAAAACCGCCTTGGTCGGAACCCGGTTGATGATCGTCATTGAAAGAAAACTTTGGATACGATGAGGGAATTTTAGCTTCCATATTACATCAAAGTTAAAACATGGATCCTCAATTGCATCATTTACAAGCTTTGCACTATGTTAATAAGGCATAATACACTTGCTAGAGTTGTTAATGGCCAAAAATGATATATCTGACTAGGCGAGTTCTTAAAAAGTGACTGAAAAAGCATAAATGGACTTTTAATCCATTTGACATTCTCAAATGTGAATTTTATAATGAGATGATTAATTATGTATGACATGTTATATGTATGTCAATCTATGTTCATTAACAATAAAATTAATAAGCCGCATACTTCTAAATAACCTTAACAAAGAAACATTAAAACATAAAATTACACAAGTCTCTAATTGATAAAGAGGCCTTTCAAGATAAATTCCACCATTCGAAAACACTAGACCGTAATAGCTTAGTGAATCCAAAAGCCGCAAAGAGATTATCATCACTCTTCGTTACTAAATCACACCATGGGCAGCAGCACATCAAAGTATCCAAATAAATCACCTCCATAAGAAAACCGCCTTGGTCGGAACCCGGTTGATGATCATCATTAAAAGAAAACTTTGGATGCGAGGAGGGACATTTAGCTTCCATATTACATCAAAGTTAAAACATGGATCCTCAATTGCATCATTTACCACCTTTGCACTATGTTAATAAGGCATAATACACTTGCTAGAGTTGTTAATGGCCCAAAATGATATATCTGACTAGGCGAGTTCTTAAAAAGTGGCTGAAAATGCATAAATGGACTTTTAATCCATTTGACATGCTCAAATGTGAATTTTATAATGAGATGATGATTTATGTATGACATGTTATATGTATGTCAATCTATGTTCATTAACACTAAAATTAATAAGCCGCATACTTCCAAATAACCTTAACAAAGAAACGTTAAAACATAAATTACAAAACTCTCTAATTGATAAAGAGGCCTTTCAAGATAAATTCCACCATTCGAAAACACTGGACCGCAATAGCTTAGTGAATCCAAAAGCCACAAAGAGATTATCATCACTCTTCGTTACTAAATCATACCATGGGCAGCAGCACATCAAAGTATCCAAATAAATCACCTCCATAACAAAACCGCCTTGGTCGGAACCCGGTTGATGATCATCATTGAAAGAAAACTTTGGATGCGAGGAGGGACTTTTAGCTTCCATATTACATCAAAGTTAAAACATGGATCCTCAATTGCATTATTTACCAGCTTTACACTATGTTAATAAGGCATAATACACTTGCTAGAGTTATTAATAGCCAAAAATGATATATCTGACTAGGCGAGTTCTTAAAAAGTGACTGAAAATGCATAAATGGACTTTTAATCCATTTGACATGCTCAAATGTGAATTTTATAATGAGATGATGATTTATGTATGACATGTTATATGTATGTCATTATATGTTCATTAACACTGATAACTTCGTAAAAGGTCACATTTTGGGACCTTTTAACTTATGTTATTGAATGTCTAAAGGCTCATTTAGGAACATATAGATGCATTTAGAAGCATGTAGTTGCATGTGGTGAATTTCGGTTTGATGTGGCGTTTTATTTTTACAGCGGTGCTACTTTATGGGAAAGGTACTTGTCTGATGATTTACAGGTTTTGAAAGCAAGGAAAAGAGGAAAGAAAATGCCATGACATAAGGAGATTGCTGAGCTAAAGAAAAATGCCAAGTTCGACTGGCATTTCGAAAGTGCAAGAAGATATTTTTGAAGCCAGCTGTATCCAACTTTTTGAGAGCTCTACCCGAAAAATCCATCTCGAAGACCCGCCTGGAGGGACCGGCACTGCAACTGCCGGTTCTACTGATGACGTCGCCTGACGCTCCAGATCCTATCTTTCCTTGGGCGCCTGCAACAGGATTATGCCGGTCACTCATGCCAGCTACCCAGGCTGTATCATCACCTGTCTTGCCCGACTCCCAAGCGAGTTCACCATGGTTTGGGAAACTCAACTCTTAGTTCAAGGGTTAATTTTCCCCTATAAATAGATGATGAAACCATAATGTTAGAGACTTTAGTTCCACCCAGATTTGAGCATAAAAAGTTAGAGAGAGAAGGTCTCATCTTTCTCCGTCTATCCTACTTGCCGTGCAATTTCTCATTGACAAGCCTGAGGGAGTGGCATCCTGAGCATTCGAGAGGAGCCAATTTGCTTGGAGTAGTGCTTGGTGGCCAAGGGAAGTATTGGGCAGTGCACGTTGAAGGCTTTCTCTCCTCCCCTTTTGTTCTTTGCTTTCATTTTTTTTATTGGGTTGTAAGGAACAAATGATACTTGCTTTGTGCTTGTGTATTTCAAACCCCACCATGAACTAATCCTATTTGGTGGGAGTTCACTTGGATGTTTATGTTTTTATTTCAATGAATGGTTGTTTGCTATGCTTTAACATGTTTTGTTTATGAAACTTAATGCTTTAAGGTTGTAGGAGCTACGAGAGTAGCCTTTCCTTAGGAGATCTTGAGGGTTCGAGAGAATGCCTTGGGGTTTACGCCAATCAGTTTTGCCAGGACATCTTTAATCTGTCGAATCCCTTACTAGAGATAGCATAGGTCACCTTAGTAGACTC